ACCATGGCGTTTTCCCGGCTGACTCGTGTGGCCGAGACGGGGTGACAGGGCAGCCTATCTGAAATGGCATCCTCAGGAATGTGGATTGTTTTATTGCCAGTTAAATGTGCTCTCCGCTACCTGTGAATGAGGCCATTGTGACGTTTAGCAGCGGGTTTGATTGAACACAGATGTGGGCTGGGCTCCACGTGGAGCAAAGATGCAGGAGCTCAGGCTCCGGGGCTCCAAGACGGCAGAGTGGGCCAGACAGCTCAGGGCGGCAAGACAGATGGGGCGTCCCCTTCCTGGCACTCGGACCCTGTGCCCTGGCGGTCCCAGAGCTGAGCGCTCAATCTGGGTATCCCAGAAGCCTTTGTCTTCATGTGGGCTCTGCTGTTTGGCCCTATCCAAGTTGGGGTTTTTTTTTAAGCCTTCCTTGAATGGCTTTATTCCCATGAATTAAAAACAAAAAACAAAAAAAACAGAAATGGCAAATCAGTAAAATACTAGCATATTTGACATCTACAGTGATGACTGTTAACACACGGAGAATAGCAATCCTCGCTACCATTTATTGAACACGCACTCTATGCCCAGCTCTGCCCTTGGTATACCTCATCTCAGAGTCCTCATCTCGAAGCCAAATTAACTCTGCCTGGCTCCATTTTACAGATGGGAAAACTAAGGCTTAGAACATGCAACCATTTGTCTGCAGTCACCAGGGAAAATCATCAGTTGTGCATGGATTCCCTGTTGTCTTCCAGCCCCTTCCAGGTTCTAAGGTCCAAGAAGACAGGACCCAGCTCTTTCTCAAGACAGAATTGTTGGCGCACACCAGGCACTCAGCAAATATTTAGCGAATGAAGGAAAAAGGAGTGAGTGCCTGGGTGAGTGACAGGTCTGCACAGCAGGGGAGGGTGGGGCAGGGCTGGCAGCTCTCCCCGCTTTGTATTGTAGGTAAAGAAAAGAAACTGAGACGCAGACCCATGAGGGTGCGGGATGTGCCCCTTTCTGGAACTTGGCCGTGGTTAGGGTACCCGAGTGAGTGTGTTTGAGAACAGGCTCACGTCTCTCTCCCTGCTTGTGGCTTCTGCATTTTGTACAGTGTCTTCTGAGTCCTTTCCCCTGTCGTACTTCCAGACCTTTTGCACTCGCAGTCCTGTTAGGTCTCAGCAGTTCTGTGTGAATGCCAGCCTCGGGAAGGCTGTGTGAAGAGGGAGCATGCGTGTGTAGGAGCGTCACTGTGGACCCAGCGTGGGAGGGCCCTTTGCTATGGGGAAAGAAACTGCCACATGGATCCCGGAGCAGGTAGCATTGATGAGGGGGCGCCCGTCCGTTGGGATTGCCCTTGAGGCTGTCCCTGCACTGCCTGGGTTGCCGTGTCAAACCCGCGGGTGACCGCGAGCTCCCTTTAGGTTGGCCCCGAAGAACCGAGGCGGGCAGCTGTTCCGCACGGGCGCGGGGACGGCAGCGCGGGGCTCCCAGGCTCCCGGCTGACCTGGGCTTGAACCTGCCCTGCCACTTCCCAGGAAGGCCGACTTCCTAGGGCTGCGGTGGAAATTAAACAAGATAATGCATGCGAAATGATTAGCCTTGGGGAAGATAATAAGTGCTCAATAAATAAAAGCTGTTATCATTATTTATCCAACGGCTAATGCCAATAACTGAAAGGCTTCCAAGGGCCTGGATTAAGTTAAAGCTGGGCTTGGCCCGGGAAAGGGAGGGGGGGTTTTCATGGTAACTGTCACCATGTCCTTAAGAAGAAGAGGAAATCCAGAGGGCAACAAGCCCAAAGGGCTGTCCAGAGTCACCAGGAATCAGAGAAGTGTGAATTCAAGGCAACAAATGAGATGTCGTATTTGTCCTATAGAACTGGCCAAGGGTTCCCTGACACTGGGAGGCACGGTTCTGGGGACAGAAAGAATCCCTCTGTCCCTTCTATAGTAGGTATAAATCTCCGTGCACGAGCAGAAGGGGGTAAAAATATAGAACTGACTTTATTTTCAGCATGTCAACATAATTTCTATCTCAAGCCGCTATTCCGGGATGGTAAGAAAGTTTCGTCTTAGTCTTTCAGAGCTTTCCCCAAACTCTCCAGAATTTGGGCCAGGGTTCTGGAATCGCACTCGGTGCCAGTGTGTTTGTGGTGTTGGGGGCTCACAAAGTCCTGTGTCGCTGGGACCTGGGCAGCTGCCGAGACGTCCGCGGTCTCGGCCCTTCGGGTCTGGGCTCTGCAGGGCTGAGTCCCTGTCACACCGGGGACATGGGACCCTTTCTCTGTCCTCCCCTCCTAGACCAGACACAACCTGGAAACGCGGAGGCCCCTCCACCATGCGTGTTTTTGTTTGTTTTGGTTTGGTTTTATTTTATTGCCTAACTAGTTTGTATTTGTTACCTACATTTGAAAATTGGGAAATTTCCTACACAAATCCTGACTCCTCCTGAAAAATCAGAAGCTCTGGCTACCTCAGACTCACCTTCCTCCATGGCAGAGGTGGGCCAAAGTGGGGTAGCACTGTGTCCATGAAGAGCACTTTGGGCTGCAAGTAATGATACAGCCCAAGTTACATTGGAGTAAACCATAATCCCATTTATTGTATATTTAACAAGAAGTCAGGACCCCCATGTTTAGTTTGGCAGCTCAGTTATGTCTTCAAAGACCAGATTCTTTCCATTTTTTTACTCCTTCCGTTTCAGCATGTGGGCCTGCTGATTCTACGCGCATGGCCTCATGTCCCAATGTGGCTGCCATAGCTCCAGACACTGCATGCTCACATGATCCAGAGGAGGAGGCAGGCATTGAGAGACTGCTTTTACTTAAAACCCAAGAAAACCAATAAAACAAAACACAAGCAGTAGTTGTCTGCTGCAACAGAAGCTCAAAACAGCAATGTCTTCAACAAGAAAGAAGGGCGTTTCTTTCTCATACGAAAGTCCCAACTGATGCGGCAGTCCTGGTCAGCAAGTGTAACGGGTTCGAGCATGTTATGTCTTTCTGCTCGGCCGTGCCATGCAAGGCAGCCCCCCCCACTCCCCACCAAGTCCACAGGGAAAGAGAGGACCTGCCCCGCCCTTCCGGGGCACAACTAGGAAGTTGCTCACATTCATTCACTTCTGTCCCCTTTGTCTGGAACTCTTCACGTGGCCACAGCTAGCCAGGAGGGACGCTGGGGATTGCAGTGTTTATTCCAAGGAGCCGTGTGCCCAGCTCACAAACAGAGGTCCTGTCGCTATGAGAGGGAAGGGGTGAATGGAGATTGGGGCACCCCTCGCAGGACCTGCCCCCGTCGCCTTAAGAGAGGACGTTGTTTTCACCTCATCCTTGCCTCCCGGCCCTCACCGGGCTTTGCATCAGCCAGAGGCGCTCAGCACTCCAGCACCACGGCGGGTCTGTCTGTCAAAGCCCTCCCGAGCCCACGAGGCCACGCGCTGTGGCACAGGGCTTCTGTGGCCACCTGCCGCCTCCTTCCCGGGCCTCCCTGGCACAGGACGGACTTCTCGCTGCAGGCGCCCTGCGGCCGCCCCCACGCTGCCGTCTGTTCAGCTGTCCATTCTTCGGATGACCCTGGGTCACAAAACGCAAATAAACAGGAGGATCCTTTTGGAGAAAGGATACCAAGAGACAAGACTGCGACCTGTTTGTGTCCAAACCTGCCCTGAGTCGCCATTCAGAAGGTTGGCACGAAAGGAGAGAGCGATCAGAAGAGAAAATGCTGCATCCAGGAGCTTGGCTGAGACTCGGGCCTTCCTAAACGTCAGCAAGTAGGGTCACCATGGCAGCCAGGTCCAACTAGCCGCCCTCGAACGGAGTAGGCTGGCCTAGGCCTTCTGCCCAGCGTGTCAGGGCAGGCCACTGAGGACAGCCGCTGGGATCCCGGCATGCGCTGGTGCGGACAAAGTCTGGGTTTCTGGGCCTTGGGCCAGCCGCCATGTGACGGCCATCAGGAGAGAGGACCCGGGTCTGGCCAAGGTCCCGGTTCTCGCTCTCTTCACCCAGCTAGCTCTTTTTCATCCTGTGGAGGTTAGGTTAGATGTCACTTCCTCCAGGAAGCCTGCCCTGACCCCAGCCCTGCCCGATCAGCGTTACAGGGCCCTTCCTTGTGCCCCGAGCTCCCTGTGAAAGCAGCTCGCTGGACGCTTCTTCTCCCCCGCGTCCCAGTATGTGGCCACCCCCCAAGACATGGATATAGTCTATTTGGTAGATTTGCCTTTGGAACCATGTAAATACTTTACATAATTATAAAACACATTTTGGCAAAAGTAATTTCTAAAATTTGATAGCAAACTGAAACAAATAAACCTAACTGTATATTGTTCTAGAGGCGGATGGTGGTGATGTTTGCACAAGAGTGTGACTGTACTCAATGCCACTAAACCGTACACTTTCAAATGGTTGAGATGGGCCAGGCGTGGTGGCTCACACCTGTAATCCTAGCACTCTGGGAAGCTGAGGCAGGAGGATCACTTGAGCTCAGGGGTTCGAAACCAGCCTAAGCAAGAGCGAGACCCTGTCTCTACAAAAAACAGAAAAATTAACCAGGTGTCGTGGCATGAACCTGTAGTCCCAGCTACTCAGGAGGCTGCGTCAGGAGGATCCCATGAGCCCAGGAGTTTGAGGTTGCTGTGAGCTACAATTACATCATTACACTCTATCCAAGGCCACAGAGTGAGACTCCATCTCAAAACAAATAATAATAAACTGAATAAAATAAAGTGGTTTTAGATGGTAAATGTTATGTATATATCATAATTTTTGAAAAACTGATTTTTTTAAAAACATAATTATCAAGGACCAGACTGTGTGTGGTGTGCAATATCTCATTTATTTCTCACTATGACCCTTTGAAAAAGATGTCATTTATTTGCCTCATCTGTTAAGGAAACAGGTTCAGAGAGACTTGGTACCCATGGTCACAGGTTGTATCCCAGCCTGTCAGACCTCAGACCCCACCTGGCCAATACATCCTTCTCCTCCACGTTCCTCTCTGACTGAGACTTCATCCTGTTCCTCCTTCCCACAGGCACGCCCGGGATCTACCAGGGAGCAAATGGACTGACCAACACAGCTGGATTCGGAAGTGTGCACCAGGTAGACACGGCTCCCTCCCAGTTCTTTCCTCTGCTTTTTCCTTAAATACCCCCCTTAAGTCAGAGCACCCGGAGAGCCACTCACACACACAGTCTCCCCACCAGAAACTCAGCCTCTTAATTCCCTGGGTTTGCAGAGTACGGGAGCCAGGTTGTGCAAAAGGCCACTGGATACGCGTAACATACAGGCAGAGACATTAGAATTATATTAGAAGATTTCCAAAATGTCATGGCAATGTGCGAGTTGGCCTGAGTCCAAGACACCCGTTGCCTGTTCAGTCTGGCATATGTGGATGCCGTCGTGCGTGTTCTTTCACCAGACCAGGGGCTTCTCGGGCTGACAGTACATCTTGCTCACCTCTGTATCCGCAGGGCGGAGAGCCAGCACACAGTGGGGGCTTTATAAATGCTTGTTAAACCAAAGTATGTCATCTCTACAAAGACAAATGCTGGCTCATATTTTGATTCTCTTGGTTTCACTTAGAGAGTGAATTAAGAATTACCATGCTGAAGATGCGCAGGAACCCCGTGTACTATTTGTACACCTCTCCTGTAAGCCTAAAATCACTTCAAAACAAAAGGTTAACCTGCTCTCAGGCTACTGTTAAATTAAAACTACCCTAGGGTAGATGGGCCCTAGGAATATTTTAACAAATTTAAATATGAGGAATGTGCTATTTCTTTTCCAATGAGCCGAAGAATCTAAATAATGTATTCATAAAACTTGGAAAATATGAAAATTGTTTCATATATTTTTGTATTATTTCCAGTGTACTGTATACATGGATAAAATAGTTGTAAAGAAAACAGTCCTTTTTAAGCCGTGGCTCTTAATTCTGGGTGTTTGTTCACTTCACTATAAGAACTTGTCAAAAACACAGTAGACCTGGGGTGGGCCCGGGAAGCTGAACTTCCCTGAGTTCTTTGCAGAGTTGAGAAGCCCTGGTGTGGGGCGATGGCGGGCAGAATACTGAAATAGTGACTATTGTGGGAGAATTGAAATATCCAGTCTGTTCAGGCAAAGCTTGATCAGAGATGATTGGCATCTACTGATTTGATCTCCATGACTCCCTCATAGAATTTTCTGGGCCCCTAGTGCTGTGCAGATGCTGTTGCATTTGCACTTCCTTCCCGTGAGCATGACGCCTGGTCTCCTGGATATGTGTGTACGTGTGGTCTCTACTGTTCACTCATATATTGGACATTTATTGAGTTACTATATATGCCAGGCACCGTCCCAGGTGCTGGGGATATAACAGTGACCAGGACAGGTGTCGTCAGGGTCACGCCTGTATCCCTCGAGGTCGCCTGCTGACCTCCAGGTGCCAGTGTCTGCGCGCCTGGGTCCGAGGCTAAGCGAAGGCCCACGCCCAGGCAGCTGCGTCACTCACGTCCTCGGTGTGCTGTCTCTTCCCAGGACTATCCTTCCTACCCCGGCTTCCCCCAGAGCCAGTACTCCCAGTATTACAGCTCGTCCTACAACCCGCCGTACGTCCCGGCCAGCAGCATCTGCCCGTCGCCCCTCTCCACGTCTACCTACGTCCTCCAGGAGGCACCTCACAACGTCCCCAGCCAGAGTTCCGAGTCACTTGCCGGTACGTGCAGCCACTGTCCTGCGGTCGCCGCAGCCGTGGCCTGAGCGCTTGTATGAAGGGCGGACCCGGACGTAGGTCCCCATGTAGTGAGCGGGTCCCGCAAGGGCTGCGCATCTCAGACGTGTTCTGTTGGTCTTTCTGTTTGTACTCGCATGTGTTTAATTGCATTCGTGTTTAAAAGTCAGAAAATTTTGCCTGAAAGTTTTCGTTTCTGGCCTCCCTTGAAAGAAGATCCGGCCACTCTAGCCACATTCCCAAGGAACGCTCCCGGATTGAAACTAAGTGTGTCTGCCCCCCCTTTAGAGAAGATGATGATGATTCCACCTCTAGCCGGCTTAACCCAGGTTCACTGCCTGCCTGGCCCATGTAGGCCTTGGAGCTGGTAAGCCGTGCTCCACAAAGACAAGAAACTAGTATTTACTGCCCATCTGTTATGTACCAAGCACATACCTGTGCTGTATTCTCTAATCATTTATATATATTTATTTGACAATTTTTTTTATTTCAGCATATTATGGGGGTACAAATTTTAAGGATTCAAATAATGCCCTTGCCCCCCACACACAAGTCTGAGCCTCAAGTGTGACCATATTTAATAAGCACCTGCTGTGTTCCAGGCACTCCTTTTAGTTTGGGAAATAAATAAAGTGCAATATAGACTTGATCTTTGCAGACAGTGATCAAATAATCATACAAATATATAATTATGAACTGTGATAAGGAAAGCCAACGTCCTCACAAAAACAGGTTTCATATTACCCCCCTCTTTTTCCAAATAAGAACAACTTGAAGATCAGAGTGATAAGGAACTTGCTCTGCTTCAGTTGGTGGAGCTGGGATGCAACCCAGGTCTGGTGGACTCTGTCACCAGCACTCCTGCAACCCCCGCCCATGCACAGCTGAGAATGTTGTCTAACCCACTTGAGAACAGAAGGGCAGAGGCCTTCAAATGTTGGTTCTCTCTCCAAGAGGGGTTCAAATATAGTGACTCAGGGTCGTCAATAATTATAGAATTCTCCAAAGAAATCCTTAAGTATGTTCATTTTTAACGGCACAACAGTTTTAGGAAACCTTCCTATTAGTCCATGTCTTTTGGGCTTCAAAAGATAGGAAATCCAATTTGAACTCATTTAAGCAAAAAAAGGAATTTTGAGGCCTATGTAACCAAAATGTACAAGGGTTTAGGGCTGAGTCCAGGGTTTCCAATTATACTGCTGGGACTTAGTCTCTCTCCTCCTTGTGGCTCTGCATTTTTCTGGGTTCATTTCATCCTCACACAGGCTCCTCCCCTAGGCTGACAAAGACAGCCACCAGCTACTGAGGATTCAATCCTGCCTATTAATCCACCCCAGCAAGCAGGGTTCCTCCTTCCTAGTGGTTCCTGCAAAAGTCCCAGGTAAAGCTCCCATTGGCCCAGCTTAGGTCATGTGCTCAATCTCTGTGGCCAATGGGATAGGATGCTGGGATGGGCAGCCAACTCGGGTCTCATGCCCACAGCTGGAGCTGCAGTTGGGGGTCAGCCTCACCTCAACCACGTGGACCGAGAATGAGGGAGAAGTGATTTCCCAGAGGAACCCAGAGCACCCTAACCAGAAGGCAGAAGAGACACTGAATAAGCAAAAAAGACATTCACAACCTTGATATGGATCCCACCTAGACTATGAGCAACATGTGGCAGAGCCCATGTCCTGGCCCCTTTGTGGTCTCAACCTGCAATGTACATCCCTGTGCAAATAACTCAACAGCCTGTGGATCCATTCATTCCTTCCACAAATCTGCTGTGCCTGTGTCTTCTCGTTTATGACGTGCTTTGGGCTTACCACCTCTAAGTAACACGGCAGCAAAGCATTAGAATGTCCAAATGTAAAGGAGATACCATCGAGTTTTGTTCTTTTTCTTCTTCTGTTATGAAACCTATCAATGTTCTAGGGCTTTGTGGAAGCTAAGCTGGCATGATGGTGTGTAGACATTCAGTAACAAATATTGACTGATTGAATGAAAAGAAACAATGGGGTAGTACCCACCTCTCTTGTTCCTGGGGTTCTTGGTGTAGTTATTGGTTTTAGACCTTCTATTTTCCATCCCTGGGGGTGAATGATTTATCCTCTGTTTGGTGACAAATGGAGACAACATGGCCAAGCATGTTTAAGTCAACTTTTAAAAAGGTTTAGGGCTTTAGGGTTGATTTGGGTCACTGTGTTTTCATCCCAGAGTATTTAATGAATGGGTTGTGCCTATTTAACAATTTCCAAATTGCTTTCTTTGAAGAGTTTGAAGTTTGGCAAACTTTTCTTTGTCATAATCTTGAATTATCTTTGGCCATCCTGCTTTTCAGAATGTGGCCCCTCCAAACTGGTTTCAGCAAAAGAAAAAAAAAAAAAACTGATGAGAAATTAGGGCAGAGAGGAAAATACAAGCAGGAAATCTTCACATAGGTACCACTATCCATTTACAATTCAGTGGTGAACTGAATGGTGAACCAAAAGCTTCCCTCCTAAGAATTTGGGTTATGCAGGAAGGTCATATTTATTCCCCATCAGAAGTGACTATAAAAGCTCACTGTGTCTCTTTGAAATTCTTCTTTGTGGTTTCTTCCTGTTCTTCATTTATCCCTTGATCTAAGGTTCAACCATAAGTGATTAAGATGGTTTTTACTGTGTGTCTAACAAGCTCACATAAAATCTAATGGCATAAATAATTGTCAGCTATGACCAAGGTCTCTTTTCCCCAGCGTTTATTCTAAAGGAAGGGCACATAAGCATACACGTGTGTGCACGTCCACACACACACACACACACACACACACACACATGCACTCTTTTAAAATTTCCCATAAAAACTCTACTTTTGAAATTATCCAGGATACCCTTGAGTGGTTGGTTCCAAACTCCAGAGGCTTAAGAGGTTTATGTACTACTGACAGCTCCTGCTCGCTCTTTGCATTGCCTGGACACAGTATTTTAATGCTCCTCACCACTCCCAGCTCTCCCCACCGCAGTGCTCTCTGCGTTGACATGCATTAACATTTACATGAAGTGCCGACAATTTGCAGATGATTGCAGGGCAATTTGCTGATGCAGAGGGCAAAATCTGAACATCTGACATTACTCAAGAGAAAAAAACAAATCAGCATTGGTTGCTTAAGGATTTTTTTTTCTTTTTATATTTTTAAGTATGGTACAAATTATCTGAAAAGAAGTTGGAGGATCTTTTTAACATCTAAGATCATCTCCCTTGGCCAACAGAAGATTTTTTTTAATCTCTCAAAAAGAAATTTAGAATGTTCTTTCATGCAATTTGGCAACATCTATTAATAACAATATTTAAAATGCATGTACCCTTTAACCCAACTATTCTATGTCTAAGAATTTATCCTAAAGATAAACTTCCATATAGGTACAAAGACTTACATAAAAAGAGTATTTATTGCAGGAACATCACAGAAAAAGAATGGAAACAACCTGAATATCCACTAACAGGAAGCAGGTTAAATAAGTCATGGTACTTCCACCAGGGGCACACTATACAGCTGTTAAAAAGAGCAAGGTTGGCCTGGTGCAGTGGCTCACGCCTGTAATCCTAGCACTCTGGGAGGCCGAGGCGGGCAGATTGCTCGAGGTCGGGAGTTCGAAACCAGCCTGAGTGAGACCCTGTCTCTACTAAAAATAGAAAGAAATTAATTGACCAACTACAAATATATATATACAAAAAATTAGCCGGGCATGGTGGTGCATCCCTGTAGTCCCAGCTACTTGGGAGGCTGAGGCAGGAGGATCGCTTGAGCTCAGGAGTTTGAGGTTGCTCTGAGCTAGGCTGACGCCACGGCACTCACTCTAGCCAAGGCAACAAAGTGAGGCTCTATCTCAAAAAAAAAAAAGAGCAAGGTAGTTATATCTGTGCTAGTATGGGTCTCTCTTTGAGCTATTGTGATAGGTGAAAAAAAGCAAGAGGTAGAACTACATGCATAATGTGACCCTGAGGTTTTTTAAAGTATAAGTGTAAGTTAACATCCATATTTGCATAGGAAATTTCTGGAAAGATGCAAAAGTAACTATTAATAGTCATTTTCTCTGGAGAGGAAAACGGGGGACCTGGAGTGAAAAGAAAAGACTGTACGTTACAGACAATTTATAGGACATTCTGCCCAACAAAAACAAATACATGTTCTTTTCAAGCACCCATGGGAAATTTATCAAGATGAATATATTTGGGGCCATAAAACAAGTTTTAGTGCATTTAAAAGAATCAAGGCATACAAAGTGTGTTTTCTTCCCCAACAGTGGAATTAAATTAGAAGTAAATAACGGAAAGATTTCTAGAAAATTCCCAAAGGTTTAGAATCTGAGTAACACACTTCTAAATAACTCATGGCTCAAACAAGAAATCCAAGGGAAATTAAAAAGTACTTTGAACTGAATGAAAATGAAAACAAAACATATCAAAATTTATGGAATGTCATTGAGGTAGTTCTTAAAAGGAAATTTATAGCACTAAATGCCTGTATTAGAAAAGAAGGAAGGTTACAAACCAAAGACCTCATCTTCCATCTTAAGGAACTAGAAAAAGAAGGGTATATTAAGCCCAAAGTAGTTGTGGCAGTGGCTTCACGGATGTGTACACATGTCACAACTTACCATATTGTGTGCTCTAAATGTGTATGGCTGATTGCATGTCAATCATACCTCAATACAGCTGTTAAAATAAGCAAATACATTAAAAAGGAGAAAGAAAAAGTGAAATGACTCCAAGAAAGCTCTCCATAACCTGCTCTATCCTGTAGATTCTATGACCTTGGTCTTCTACTCTTTATTCTCAAGAATGTATAAGGTCAGGTAAAAAGTTGCTTTTTTCTTTTGATTTCTTTTTTTTTTTCTTTCTTCTGTGGTATCCCCTACTACATTGGTTTCACACACTCCTTACTTTAGACCTTTCTTAGGTAGCTGGCATTTACCCTGCTTCTTTGTCAATATAATATTTGCCTGAATTTTAATGGGAGCAACAAATGTTTTCTAAGCCTTAAACTACCAAGTGAGTCAGGATAGACTTGACTTACACTGCTCTTCAGCATCTGTGAATTTAGAAGAAATTCTTTCTCCCGAAGAAAGTCCTTGCTAGCTCAGTGTTTGGAAATCTCTAATGCCGTATCCTGAAAATGCTGAAGAGTTGGACAACACCCAGACGTCCTGACAACGCAAAATCACATCTTTTCTTATTATAACCTCCTTCTGCTAAGAAGTTTTATAAATATTAAACAAAGTTTAGCCCCTAGGGTTTCGGAGGGAAATAGTCCTTCCAGAGTAGGGAAAAAACAGCCCATCGCCAAGTATTTTCAGACAAAGGCATTTCCCCCTGATGATCCAAGAACCGGCGATTCTGGAAGGAGAGATGGAGTCCTCAAGAGACATTTGGGAGCTAAAACAAGCGACTGGAAAGTACGACAGAGGAATGGATGTCCTCGAGGGTTCCGCGCTGACTGACAGTTCTGTCACTCTAGCCGCAAGGACAGGCCTACATTTTAGCTCTGGCTCTGCCACCAAGTTGCAGGGTAACAGCGGGCGAGTTAAGTCACCTCGCTAAACCTGAGTTCCCCTGTTAGTTAAGCAAGGACGATGGAGCGTTATAAAAAGCCGTGATTTAAACTTCTGTGTTTAAGCAACACACCTGCCATGCTGGCGCTGGGACCTGCGTCCTGGAGAGGCTGCTCCACTGCTTTGGGCCCATCAGACAGTTGCCCAGGGCAACGGCGCAGCGGCCTCCGCATGGGGCCACGCCCAGGAGCGCCCCCCCCCCCAGTGAGAAGCAGCAGGTGCCCACGTCAGTCCTGCCCCGCATCTTCTCGCTGATCACGGGGCTGCGGGTCTAGTCGAGCCAGAACTCCATCGGGATCGCCTCCTCGCTGCCACACCTGGGCTGGATGCCCTCACAGATACGATCTCATTTAATTCTCAAACTAACAAAACTCTCAACTGGCAAAGTTTAAACAGCTTACTTTTAACAGAGAACAGAGCGGCCCAGTAGGAGAGGAACATGGAGACTCTTCCCCCCTGGGAAGGGCGCTGGGGGACTCTCAAAGGTAGAAGAGCGTGACGCCCGGCTACGTGTGAACATGTACTGCCTCCCTCTGTGGGTCTGGGCGTTCTCAGGCTTTGGGGTACAGAGAGAGCTGGAAACACTTCTTTCATTGTAGCTCCAGCGGCCTCTGCCCCAGGTCCTCAGATCTCCGCTCAACTGTCCCCTCATCCAAGAGGGGGGCTACCCCTCCCTGACTAGCCCCACAGAAGCGAGTGTTGCCGCCTCCTGACTTACCGATTCCATTGCACGTGCCCCCACCGGACGTGCTGCGGGTTTGCCTGCTCAGTTGTCCAGTGTCTCTCTGCTCTCACTAGCCTCGGGTGCCGGGAGAACCAGGACACCCCCCCAGGGCCGGGAACAGAGCTTGCTGGGCAAGATCTGCTGGCTGGATGAGAGATAATGGTTCTCATGAATGGGCAACATAAGGGACTTCCCAGAGTGATCTTCATTCTACAGTCTTTGCCTTCAGTGCTGCCTTTGGGACATACCACTCTGGAATTAGATGGTGCTGATATAGTATTTCCTGGGAGGAGACGCCCAGTGAAGTTTCCGAATTAGCCACCATTCCTTTTCTTACCCCAGGTGACTTCAACGCACACAACGGACCTTCCACGCCAGCGAAAGAGGGAGACACGGACAGGCCGCTTCGGGCCTCCGATGGGAAGCTCCGAGGCCGGTCCAAGAGGAGCAGTGACCCCTCCCCCGCGGGGGACAGTGAGATTGAGGTAATCCAAAGGGCTTGCGTGTGACTCGGTGGATGTCATCTCCGTCTGTGGCCCAAACAGGTGGGGGGGACAGGGTTCTCTCCAAGCCCGTAGGGGAGAACTGTCCTTTGTGTTCTCGAAGCACAGTAACACGGGAAAGCGCTTGAAGGTAAAAGTAGGGAGGACTGAGGTTGGCCACATGGATGGCCCTGGAGCAAGGATGGAACAGCGGCTCTCAAACTTAGGCAGCATCAGAATCACCTGGCAGCGCTGTTGAAAACACAGATTGCTGGGCCCCACCCCCAAAGTTTCCCCTTCAGTAGATCTGGTGTCAGGCCTGAGAATTTGCATTCCTAGCAAGTCCCCAGCGATGCTGATGCCCGGGTTGGGGACCACACTCTGAGAGCCCCTGGCAAAGAGGGTAGTGGGCAGTGGACCCTCCAGCTGGGGCAGAGTGGTTCTTAACCCTGGCTAAGTATCAAAATCATCTGGGATGCTTTTCAAAGAACAGATTCCCAGGCCCTACCCCAGGCCAATTGAAGAGACTTGCCTGGGATGTGGGGGTGCAGGGGAGTTTTAGAAGTTCCCCCTGGCGACTGTAATACAGCTTACATAGTTTTCAACCTGGATGCTGGCTGAAATGAGTTTGCATCTAATTTCTATGATTTTCTGAGTTTCTCAGAGGTTCTCAACCTAGATTGCACATTACAATCACTCGCGGAGCTTTGAGAAACTTCATTCTCAAGCTGCACCCCAGAATTAAATCAGATTCCCTGGGGGTGGGACCCAGGCATCAGTATTTTGTTTGTTTGTTTTTGGAGACAGAGTCTTACTTTGTTGCCCAGGCTAGAGTGAGTGCCGTGGCATCAGCCTAGCTCACAGCAACCTCAAACTCCTGGGCTCAAGCGATCCTCCTGCCTCAGCCTCCCGAGTAGCTGGGACTACAGGCATGTGCCACCATGCCCGGCTAATTTTTTCTATATATATTAGTTGGCCAATTAATTTCTTTCTATTTATAGTAGAGACGGGGTCTCGCTCTTGCTCAGGCTGGTTTCCAACTCCTGACCTTTGAGCAATCCGCCTGCCTCAGCCTCCCAGAATGCTAGGATTACTGGTGTGAGCCACCGCGCCCGGCCTGGCATCAGTATTTTTAAAGCTCCCTGAGCGATTCCAATTCGCAGCCCAGGCTGAGAACTCATGGTCTAAGGGATGCCCCAATTTGTTTCTTTTCATTGTGTATTTTTGAGTTTTTCAACATAATGTTATAGGGTACATATAGATAGTAAAATGATTATAGTAATGAAGTATATTAACGTGTCTGTCATCTCACATATGTTTTTGTGTGACAAGAGCAGCTAAAATCTAATTACGGAACAAAAATCTGTAATTCAATACAATCTTACTCACTTTAGCCCTCATGTTGTACATTACATCTCTAGACTTACTCATCTCCAATCTTTATTATAATAAAGTAACTATAAGATTATTGGTCAGGCACTGACATTTTCCCAAAAATCAGCATGCAGAGGGGAGGGTACTAGTGGAGACACAGGCCAAATGACTGCCCAAAACAGAAATAAGCTGCAGTTATCTATCATGGAAGGAAATGGGCAAATTCACTGGTTTTGTAGTAATTTGCGAAAGGCAGTCGTTTGTGGGCTTAAATGTGCTGCCGGTACATGGGTAGTTTTGGCAAAGCCTGGATCAGTGCCAGGCAGCTCAAATGCATCGTCATGCCCCATTCATAGTCCTGTGCACTGTATGTAGCAGCTGCTACACTCAGCCACAAACTCGGATATGCTAAGAAATACCATCTTCGTCATTTCCTTCAAAATCAATCTAATTTTAACTCTGGAGTCGTCGTCCCACCAGGATAGTTAGATATGTCATCTCATCAGTGGGGACGCTTCCCTCCCAGAATTGTATGAGAACCTAAGGGTCCAGGTGGCCTCAGAAGGCAGAAGAGCTTCTACTGCCCAGGGTGGCTTAGTTGCTGCTGCCTTCCTCGTTGTCAGAGCCTGCAGTGGTCAGCAAAAGTCCAGCCACGCTCTGGGGCTTCCATGCTATACTCTGGGCATGGAAATCCTTGTCAAGCCTGAGGACCTTGGAGTATTAGCTACATTCCTTTGGTTGCAAGCAACAGAAACCAATTCTGGTTACATCAGCAAAAAGGAATTAACTGGGAGGGAATTAACTGGGAGGAATTAACTGGGAAGGACAATGAAAGGAGGCCACAAAACCAAGTTTAGAAACAAAGTAACAAAGGGGTGCTGAGGAAGCTAGGGAACCTTCCAGGTGCTGGGCTGTGCCCGAGAGCCAGCCATTTTAGATTCTATGAGGATCTATTAGAGTCTAGGGGCACTTAGTTCAATGTTAGACTCCAAGGAGACGGCTTCTCATTGGCCTGGCTTAGGTCTCGAGCTTGCCCTTTAATTGACAGCCCCACCGAGACAGCACACAAAGGGGAAGGAAAGCCAGGATGCGCTCACCTGGGGATGGATGCTGGGAGCCCAGAGCACCAAATGCTGACCGCCAGGGTTTTGATATTTAACTGGTATTCACCAGTTCAGCTGTAGCAGTTTATGGCTAGTGTTGGTTCTGATCATCCCGGAAGGTATTGAACATAACGCCAGGCATGGTGGCTCACGCTTGTAATCCCAGCAACTAGGAATGCTGAAACAGGAGGATTGCTTGAAGCCAGAAGTTCAAGACCAGCCTGGGCAACATTAGCTGGACTTGGTGGTGCACGCCTGTAGTCCCAGCTACTCGGGAGGCTGAGGCAAGAGAATTACTTGAGCCCAGGAGTTCAAGGCTGCAGTGAGCTATGATTGCACCACTGCACTCTAGCCTGGGCAACAGAGCGAAACCTTATCTCTAAAAAAAAAAAAAAAAAAAAAAACTGTGAACATCATGCATGTCCCCCACACTAGGACAGCCCCCTGAGGTCTACCAGCAGCCTTAACCCACCCTAGAGACCTGCTGTAGGGCAAGTGTTCCCACTGTTCATGGGACCACTGTTAGTGCAGAAGGGTCTGTTCTTGCTTTTCCCATTATTCTTAAAAACCCCTCCTGCAAATCGAGGAGACTTTGCACAATCCCTTCGATGAGTTTAGGTCTTTGGGAAAGCCTAGAAGAGAATTAATTTCCTTCAGTCTTCCCTCCCATATTCCTAGGATTTTCTACCAGCTAGAAGTTGCAGAGCAATACAAAACACAGATCGCAACGCATGCATTAATATTCCACCACCACCCCCCAATCATCCAGTCACCTAACACGGTTTCTGCTCTCGGTGGGGGATGATGGGGGTGGAGAGACATTTTTCCATTAAACTGAGAAGGAGGCGGGGAGGGTTGTGGCGTGGAAGTTGGGGATTATAAGGTGATATTATTCTGGAAACATCTGCTTCTTGATTCCAGCGTAAGGACCACTGGGCAAGCACAGTTGAAAAGGTGTGAGCTGTGTTTCACTTCTGTGCTTAATGTCAGCATAGAGGATTTGCATGGGTCACACCTCTTAAGTCTTTGGCAGTTTTGCTAATAACTGAAGCCCATGAGAGAGAAATGATGTAGAAGTGGAAAGGAGGAAAACTCTGAGCATGTATTAGTTAAAATCCTTGGCTGCAGGTGCCAGAAACCAACTTAAGCTCACTTAGGCGAAAAGGCAGACTTTATTTTAAGGACACAGGGACTGTGTTAGAACTCTGGAGCAGGGGTGCAGGGGAATCTCAGCAAGATACCAGAACCAGCCAGAGAGACAGGGGCGAGGAAATGCGTTTATGCCTTTTCTTCACACATGCCACAGTGGGGGCACGAGAACCCCAAACAGTGGTGTCTCTGCAGTGCCCCATGCACTTGTCACAGATCCTCGGGATCTGCCCACCCCACCGCTCACTCTGCTCGCCACTGAACCCAGGCCCTGGTAAAGTGTTAGGTTCTCTCTGTATCTTTCTCTCTCTTCTCCCATTGCAGACTGCCCTTCCCTACCCTTATGAATTGCACAGCCAAACTTGGCCACCACCAGCCTCCTAAAGGCAGTGGCTTTCTTTCTAGGCCCCAATTTTAAATTCCCAAGGAAGGGTCTCCGACCCACCCAGGGCTAGGGGCTCACCCAGGTCCAAATCAGGACCTAGTGAATAGGATCACCTGCAGAGAAGCCACCAGGGACTTGCCCACCAGGAATCTAGGATGCTGGGTAGTAGGGGAGGGGCAGACCTTCTTCTTCAGAGGGGATGCAATAGATAAGTTAAAGGAGCCTTCTCTAAATTTGAAGATATTCACTGATTTTTAAAAATTCTATTAGTAAGCCGAGGGGGTGGTGGCTCACGCCTATAATCCTAACACTTTGGGAAGCCAAGACAGGAGGATTGCTTGAGGCCAGGAGTTGGAGACCAGCCTGAGCAAGAGTGAGACTCCATTTCTTCAAAAAATAGAAAAATTAGCTGGGCATGGTGGTGCATACCTGTAGTCCCAGCTACTCAGGAGGCTGAGGCAGGAAGATCACTTGAGCCCAGGAGTTTGAGGTTGCTGTGAGCTGTGATAATGCCACTGCACTGTAGCCCGAGTGACAGAGCAAGACCCCATTTCAAAACAAAAAAAAAGGTCTATTACTGAAATTTCTAAGTTGAACTGATCCAACCCAATTAATTCAGATTAAGTTAGGACTTAGCATATTTGCACCTTAGAAGGCCTTCTCAAACACTGGTTTTCAAACGATTTTTACTATGACCCCCAATAAGAAATATACTTAATATCATGACCCAGCACATACATACACATAAATATAACTGAACCAAAAAATTCACAATATAATACTTAGCCCTACTGATTGCTTCAAAAACTCCCATACTAGAGAACCCTAGGAGGTGCTAATGTAGCTTTTTCTTTCTAGATGCTTCTCTTTACTTTTAAATGCATGGCAAATGTCATTGCATAAATACAGCCATTGACTTCCAAGCAGTTTTTAAAGTGTCCTGTTCAAGACAGCAGACTGAGTAGGTGCGTTTGTCTCCCATCCTTGACACCAGCTGCAGAGATAATTAATCAAGTTCTTTGTGCCTAAAAATAGTGATCTCCAGACAAATGAGGTAAATCAACGGTATGAAAAATAAAGGCCAAGAAAAATAGGATAAATGAGAAGCAAAGTATTTTAAGAAAAAGAAAGAAACTTAGAAAAATTCTGATTGGTTTTCTTATAAAAACCAAAGGAGATCTTGTATCCATAAAATAAGAAGTGGAGACTATTGGGAAAAGACCACTCAGAGCTAAAAAAAAAAAAAAAATTATTGGAAATTTGTAAATGACTGTGAGAGTCAAAAATTTAATAGAAGGATTGGAAGAGAAAGTTTAAGAAGTCTCCCAGAACATAGATCAAAAAGACAAAATTACAGAAAATATAATTTAAAAGGAGAAGCAATAGTAATCCAAAATGTTTGATTTGACTGTTGGGCATTTCAGAACAAGAGAACAGTGGAAAAGATGGGAGAGACTTATTTTAAAAAATAAGAATATAAAAATTTTCAGAGCTATAGAAAGATGTAAGTCATTGGTTTGAAAATGCTTAAGTGCTGAACAATATAAATGAAAAAAAAAAAAAGACCACACCTAGATATATCCACATGCAATTTGAGGATACCAAGTATAAAGAAAAGGTTCTTAAAAATCCTAGAGAGAAAAAATATAAAACCTACAAGGACTGAGGAACAGTGAAACATCAGATTTCTCATCAACGACCCTGGACTCTAAGAAATAATTTTTTCAAAGATCTACAGTATATTGTTTTCAAATTGGAATTCTGTACCAAGAGAAACTATAGAGCAAAATAAAGACATCATCAAGATATGCAAGAATTCAGGAAGATTACTTTTCATGCACCCTCTTAGAAAAAGCAACTTAAGGATGTACTCAAGCAAAACAAGGAAGAAAGCCAAGAAAGAGAGAGACATGGGATCCAAAAAACAGTGGATCCAACCTGGAATGTACTGAAGGGAAGTCTCCTTGGGAGACTAGTTCTCTAGTCTGCAGCAAGTTCTGTGGCAAACCTAAAAATGACCCCATTCACATTAGAACATTCTATCACTGAGGATCTCTGATACAGGAGGTGTGGCTGAATTTGACATTATAATGAAGACATATTGTTGCAAACGAGCAAAATTAAAAGCAATTATTAAACTCCAACAAAAGCAAAAAGTTATATCAGACAGGTATCCTGCATATATGAATTAACTGAGAGATGACATGATTTGAATCAAGATGGAGTGCAAGTAAGGAGAATATGTGTGAGCGTGATGGTGGAAGCATTCTCCTTAACGTGGACCTGGGGTTATGACACTGAACACATAGGGCAGGAAGTTCAATCACCCGCTTATTACTTGGCTCTTCAGTGAGCAGTAATCACAAAATGTAAATGTTCTTTACTGGTAACCAATTTTCTAAATTAACATACAGAGCACAAAAGACTTAATTATAGCTATAAAACCAATGTACAAGCCAGAGTTTATTCGCACTGACAATACAAAAGTGAAACTGAACCTGATGGGTTTTGGAGAGGGGAGGAGGTAGGGAGAAAGCAGGGATGCCAATATCTGTGCCTTCCACATCGGGTTTACTATTTAATGGTTCAGCCAAGAGAAATCGTCCAAAGCCGATGGAACTGGAAACGGAGGGATTCGCATATGTGGAAAATGTGAGGTTCCATAGCAATGGGGCAGAGTGGCGTGAGCTAAACCCTCCTCTTTTAGACCGCCTGGGCAAGAGATAATCTCTAAAGCTGGCAAATAAGTAAAGGTATAAATATGTTCATTAGAATTATGGAGACAATCGCCAGACTTGCTAAGAATAGAAATGGTTAGAAATAGTTGGGCTTATGGTGAACAGTGAATTGAAGTGGCAGCATTTCATTTTGTCAAATGAGCTATATGATTTCTGTTGTTGCTGTTGGCCTGAATCCTCCTCTTCTGAGCTTTCATGTGGAAGGCAAGAACGGGCTTGTTGGTTCTGGCATCTTCTGGGTTGGTAGGATCCCGAAAACTGGCCATTCGGATACACTTTATACGCAGAGGAGGTTGGATGGGGATTCACGATGCATCAGTAAGCTGCATGTTTTATAACTTAAAGCTAATGTTTTTCAAGAATTCTTTTCCTCCAAGGGAATTAATTTCTGCAGACATGAAGTCAGATGCAAGCAAGTCCATTTGTTTCCATTCTCTTCCTCTCTTTCATCACAGCGTGTGTTCGTGTGGGACTTGGATGAGACAATAATTATTTTTCACTCCTTACTCACGGGGACTTTTGCATCCAGATACGGGAAGGTAAGAGCCCATTTTCTCTCTCTCTCTGTTTTTGTTTTGTTCCCAACATGACCATCTGTCCAGCCAGTTTGTCCTGGGAATTGTGGGGGCAGTTTATGAGGCAGCTTCTTCAACCAAAGCTGCCCCTTTGGGTCAGCCCAGGTTTGAAAACTCCTGTGGAATTTTCCTTTGACATGTGAAAAATTAATTAGCTTCCCTTTTATTGTCTCCCATGCCTTTTCGTCCAACATTTGAAGCAATCAACATGTCCTTGATAGGATATAAGCTCGTGGTCTACAGCTGTCTCCTTCCTAAAAGAGGAGGATACGCTGTAGCCAAAGACAGTAATTGTAGCTAGAAAACGAGGTAAAGTGCTTTTCTTCCTCCCAGTTGTTTAGCCTAGTGTCTTCGGCATGTGAATTTAATCTTCCTTCTGTTGTTTCGAGCGGAGGGAGAGGCACTGTCAGCTCCAGCGTGGATCTCAGGGACAGTTTTGCAAATGTATCGTCGACAAATTATGTCGGGGAACCATCTAGTGAGAATTCTGGGCAAGTGCTATTATTGGCTGATTGGCGGTGAATGGGAGAGACATTGAAACCGCTTTAATAATGCAAAAATGAGCCCAATTGCAGAAACCTAAATCTTGCTGGTTTTTTGCATTCAGCCCTTCACGGACCCCAAGTGGGTGCCCCAGACATCGGCCATCTCTTCAGGGAAACACGGGGTGGCGGGCAGTGCGTAAGAGGACAGCCTTGCCGCCGTGTCCTCAGAGGTGTGTGCCCCACTGGCGGCGGCTGCCACCATGGGTAGGGACCTCGAGACTCGCCAGCGCCTGGAAAATATTTACGTTTCTGTTTAGAGACCAGCAATATGATTTGACATCACCTCATGGCTTTTCCAGCTGCCGGGGTTTTTTATGGGGGTTATAACAAGCTGGATGTGTAATTAGCAAGATAGATTTATCGTCTGCCATTATGTTGTAAAGAATATAAAAATGGTGTTGGTGGTGCAGAAATCTCTTGCCGCGCAGGAATGCCGTTAATACGTCTAGCAGCGCCTGCGGGAAATCCGGCACGCGTTTCTGGACTGCACGGCTCAGGCAGAGGGTGGCAGAGCCGGGGAGAGGTGGGGGGCCGAAATGGGCTCTGCAGCCATTGCAAAGTCCTGGGCTGTCCCAGAGCGGTGACATGGTGAGCTGCCCGCTAAGTCGGGGTGTTCTATGGTGTTCCACGTCCCCTCCCTCACCTTGCCCTCAGACACAGCCTGCTGTGACGTTCCATAGTGCCCTGCAGCAATCACTCCTTATGGATTGCGTAGGGCCTTGGGGTCTAGGGTCTGATGTTTGTGTCTGTCTCACCACCGTGCCTTAAACCAAATCGTGGGCTCCCTCAAGGCAGGGACAAAGCCCAGAGCGCCTTTCTGGGCCACATGTCCCCTGGCCTGTGCCATTCCTCACTGCCAGCTGCCTCTCTCCACCCCACGGCCTGACCCACCCACCTCCAGCGTGGCTTCCTCCCTGGTCTCCCAGTTCCCACTCTTGTCCCCGCCAGCCCCCTATGGAGGGGTCATGCTCAAATCCACAGTTGGTCATACCGAAAAATCACTTCCTAATGCCACCCTAACGCCAGCCTCCCGGGTCCTTTATGGGGGGCTCCGGCCCCACTGCCCCGCCGCCTCTCCTGCTGCTCACCCTGAGTTGCCTTCTGTCCCTGAACCTGCCACATTCCCTCACAGCTCTGCGGGGTTTCTCCCAGGGAGGAGCCTGAGACAGGAGTGGGCGCAGGCAGGTTGGGGGGGGAGTGCCAGGGAGCCCGGGTGCAGAGTGGGCCTCGAGGCGGGGAGGGGAAGGAAGCCAACACAGTTGTGTAAATGGTGGCTGCGGTGGCACCAGGGCTCAGTCCGAGGGACTGTGGAGAGCACCCTCAGAGCCAACCCACCCAGAGTGGGAGGGGGCTGGGGCACGTAGCCACAGACTCCCCTCCATAACGGCCGAGGGCTTCTCCCGGGGGCCTAACTCCGAGCACTTCTGGCCTGGCCTCAAGAAAGCCCCAGGGCGGGGCATCAGGCCTGTACAGGAACAGTGGCAGCCAAGGAGCCATGGAGGAGGGGCACACTGGCAGCCTCTGCTATAATCTAAAATGTTCTAGAATTTTCTTCTACTGGGTTAAATCCTATTTATCTTGCAGTTCTCACGTTAAATATAGCTTCCTCCGGCCGGACGCGGTGGCTCACACCTGTAATCCTAGCACTCTGGGAGGCCGAGGCGGGCGGATTGCTTGAGGTCAGGAGTTCAAAACCAGCCTGAGCGAGACCTTGTCTCTACTAAAAATAGAAAGAAATTAATTGACCAACTAAAAATATATAGAGAAAAAATTAGCCGGGCATGGTGGTGCATGCCTGTAGTCCTAGCTACTCGGGAGGCTGAGGCAGGAGGATGGCTTGAGCCCAGGAGTTTGAGGTTGCTGTGAGCTAGGCTGACGCCATGGCACTCACTCTAGCCTGGGCAACAAAGCAAGACTCTGTCTAAAAAATATATATATATAGCTTCCTCCAAGAGGGCTTTGCTCACTAGTTCCTTCCATCCAAATTGCATCTCTCCTCACAGCTGTATTTTTCATTTACATCCTAATTATGCACCTACTGTCTGTCTCCCTTGTGGGCTGTATGCACCATGAGGGCAGGGACCATGAACATTTTTATTCCACCCACCCAAGCCCCGTCTGTGCACAGGGCAGAACTGCTCAATGAATATTCGTTGAATGAGTGACTCAGGACGATCCCTTAGAATGTTAAGCTGCATGAGGACAGGGACTCTTTTTTTCTGTTTTGTTCATTATTCTATCCCCATAAAACAGTGTCTCCCACTTAGTAGGTGTCAAGTAAATATTTGTTAAATGAAGGAAGGAAGAAAGGAAAATAGTATCAAAACAGAAATTTTTGACTGGTGGCCACCGGCCAAATTCAGCCTGCAGATATTTTTGTTTGGCCCCCAGAGTGTTTGAAAAATGTGAATTTGTCGCCAACATTTTAAAACCAGGAGATTGCACAGACCAAAAACAATCTAGATTTCCAGCTCTTCTTGAAGAATTAGGAGAACTGGCCGTCCCGCATTCCCAGGTGGCAGCAGTCACAGGAGCTGAGTGGCGCTGCCCTCTGGGAGGGGCGCACGCTCTCCAGCCCCGCACGGCCCCCACCTGGCCCATGGAGCCCATTTATGGGGCTCTCTGGTGTCCAGGTTTCAACGTCCATGCCAGCATCACAGAACCACAGTAAGTCAGAGCCGGAAGGACTTGAGAGACCATAGTGTCCAATTAGTCTCCATCGCACGTAAGGAGAAACTGAGGCTCAGAGGAAGTAAGATCGTCCAAGAGAGAATAAGAGTCAGACTCGGGCTCACCGGCCTCCCTGCGTGATCTGTGGACATCCGGGGAAAACTAAACTGAAAAGCTCTTGTAGCCCCCAGGTCTCCTGTGCTGTCTTCATTACTCTTCTAGAATTTTCTGTTCTCTCCAGTTGTCAGACGAGGAAGGAGTATTTTCATTTGCAAAATTCATCAACCCTAAGAGAGACCCAGAATAACCGTGGCTTCAGCAAGATGAAAGCTTATTTCGCTCCCCTAGCAGTCCAGACACAAGCAGAAGCTGCTGTAACGGCCGCACGGCGCCAGGGCCCGAGGCTCCTTCCGCCCTGTTCCCCGCCTCCCCGGAGCGTTGCCCTCATGGGGCAATCACGGCTCGCCCCCGTGTCTGCAGACAGCCAGTAAGAAGGGGGAACAGGAAAAGGAGAATTCACCTCCTCTCTTTTTTATTTTATTATTACTTTTCGTCCCTCTCTTTCAAGGTCCAGACTCAAGTGCACAATCACTTCCGCTCACCTCTCTTTGCCTGGAACTTGGTCACGTGGCCACGTCTAGCTGCAAGGGAGTCTGTGAAGTATAGTCTTTATTTGAGGCAGCCATGTGCCCCGCTAAATTTTAGAGATTCTGTTACACTAAGAGAGAGAAAGGAAGAAAGAATATTAGAGAACAACTAGCAATTTCGAGCCCACCAAACCAAATAATAAAAGAAACAACAATAAAATAGAAAAATGATGAGGAAAAACAAAATGTGCCCCGTTCGAGAGGCCCAAGGGACAAGTAGGTTTGTGCATCTGAAGCTCGAGAGAGAGGTCTGGGCTATGGCGCTAAACTTGGAAGTCAGAGAAGTGGAGCGGGTCTAAAGGAGCAGGAGTGTGAGCCCCATTTTGCAGAGTAACTGAGATCTAGGGAAGTTATGTTGTTGGTGGGATTATTCACGGCAGAACTAAAACTCAAGGTTTTAGCCTCTGGTTCACAGTTCTTTCCCTCTATACTTCCTCAGCAACTGTAGCCATGTGAAGCTTGTTATTAATTGCTGATATCAAGCAGGACTGTTTGAACCACAAGAGTATTTAAGCTACAAAGGGGATTTATTAGATCACAAAATTGACAAACCCAGGGATATCGGCCGGGCGCGGTGGCTCACGCTTGTAATCCTAGCACTCTGGGAGGCCGAGGTGGGCGGATTGCTCAAGGTCAGGAATTCAAAACCAGCCTGAGCGAGACCCCGTCTCTACTATAAAAAAAAAAAATAGAAAGAAATTAATTGGCCAACTAATATATATATATATATATAAATTAGCCGGGCTTGGTGGCGATGCCTGTAGCCCCAGCTACTCGGGAGGCTGAGGCAGGAGGATTGCTTAAGCCCAGGAGTTTGAGGTTGCTGTGAGCTAGGCTGACGCCACGGCACTCACTCTAGCCTGGGCAACAGAGTGAGACTCTGTCTCAAAAAAAAAAAAAAAAAAAACCAGGGATATCTGGGATTCAGGTCTGGTTAGATCCAGGAGCTTAAGCAATGTTCTCAGGTCATTCTGCATCCCTCAGCCAACTTTCTCCATGTGGCGACTCCCTCTCAGCAGTCCCAACTAAAAAGGGGTACCTTCCTTCCACTTCCCAAATTCCAGCACAACTCCCAGGCTTGAATCTCATTGTGCCATACTAG